ATTCTTGCCATTGGTCTCATTCTTTTCAGAATGACCTCATTCTTTTCAAAATGAAAATTAGCCCATAGCACAAAAATTGGGGTAGCCTATAGCATGAAAAGTAATCATGCCCCATCTTGCCCATTTTCATTCTTTAAAGAAACTCTGTGCCAGTGGTTAGAAACCACCAACATAAAAACATTTTTTATGAAAACATTTTCTCGAAAGAACTTATACAAAAGTATTTTTACAAAAGTACTTTTAAAAAAGCACTTTTACGAAAGCACTTTTGTGAAAGTATTTTGTCAGTACTTTTATGAAAGCACTTTTACAAAAGTTCTTTTATGAAAGCATTTTTACAAAACTACTTTTATAAAACCATTTTTACCGAAGTACTTTTACAAAAGTGCTTTTATTCATTCACTTTGCACTGAATTGGACCCAATTTGGTCCATTTGCATTTTAATTAGACTGGATTGGATTGTAGTAGGTGTTTGTAGTTTTTTTTATATATTTTTTTGGAATTTTCATTTTATTTTGGTGTTTGATTCAATTTGGATTAGATTGGACCAAATTTGGTCCACTTTGCATTTTATTTGGACTAGATTGGACTTGATTTCTATGGATTTGGTTCAGTTTATTTGTAAATGGACCAATATTGGATTGGACCAAATCTAAACCAATTGACAGCCCTACCGGTAAACATCTATGCTAATGATTTTGGAGACCTAGGCCGGTGGTTTATGATTGCTAACACAATTTTTTTTAAGAATGAAAAGGAGCACTGTAAGGCACTTGTTAGTTTGAAAAAAATTCATTTTTCAAGAAAAAAGCACTTGGTTCATAGCAATATTTTCTCATTTTACCCATTTTACCCTTTTTTGTCCAATTTAAAATTTCATTTTGGGCAAAAATGAGAGTTGAACCAAACATAGTCTTAGTAGCCAAGAGTGAGAAATTGAATGAATGAAGTTAGCCACTCGGAGACAAGAATTAGTAGAACTTGGAGCTAAATTATGAAATTTTGGGAATTCACCCATAGGTAACCAAGGATCATTAGCACAATCAATAGCCCATCCATTGCCTACCTGCCATTTGCAACCCTGTCTTAATGCTTGTTGGCATTTAAGCATACTATTCCACGTATGAGAAGAGCCATATCTGATTGGAACCGTCTAGAAGTTCTGATTACAATGTAAATATTTTGAGCACAAAACTTTAACCCGCAATTGATGGGTATCAGTTAAGAAACACCAACATAACTTCATAAGAAGAGCCACATCAAACATCCTGAAATCTTTGAAACCTAGGCCACCGTGCAATTTAGGCTCACAAAAGGAGGTCCATCTTTTAACATACAAATGGTGTTTATCATCCTTATAGCCCCACCAAAATTTCCTAGTAAGCTAGTCACAAAATGATTTAGGAAGCAGTTTAGTAGATAAAACAGAAATTGGAAGAGAATTAAGTGGTGTTCAGTAGTGTGTATATATCATGGACGGGGCTGTTTTGGTTGTCCTTGGTAAGATATGGCGTTCTGCTATGTGTGGACAGTCCCCATCCACAAAATGGACCGTCCACAAAATAGCATGGATATGGACCAATCCACACCACACCTACATAACACCACTGTGGGTATGGACTGATCTGGTCCACACAATCTATCTACAGTTCAGAACAGTTATGGACTATGGTGTGGTGTGAATTGGTCTCTACCATAGGGCCACACCCACCAATTTCTCATCCACACTATAGAACACCCCCTTAATGGTGTTGTGAATGACAACTAAACGACCAACATGTGAAAGAAAACATTTTTTTCAATTCTCCAATCTGGATTTGACTCTATCAACTACAATCTTAGCATCCACGTTGCAGCGCCAAATTAAGGTGCATTTTGAGTATCTGTTGCATGTTAAATTAAAATTTCAATTAATCAAAATAGAGATATCACTCAGTCTCTTGAAATTTCATTGGTTATACAAGATGTAATTCTATATTTCACAATATGTACTTACGATTAAAGACTTTAACAACATTAAATTATCACTATACATTTGAAATATCTTTCAACAATTTCTATAGAATGCACCATGCTAAATTTCTTTATTTTACAAAAAATTATATTCGAAGTGTTGAACCCTTAATCTATAACTATTTTTGCTTTTTCTTTTTTATTCATTTTACACAAGGAGGAAGGTGATCTCCTTGTTTTCACTATGCATGTTCCACCACTATTATCCATCTTTTTCCTACTTATCACCATGTGCATCCCATGCTTGTACCATTCAGAAATACATCTTATATTACATATATAACTAATTTTATGTAAGGATGGGTAGAAACACAAAAATCCGAAATAATTTTCACTTGGTTTTCTTTCATATTTTCTACCAAACCAAAAGACAGTTGAAAAGCATTTTACCAAAAAAACCAGAAAAAAAAACAAAAGAAGAATAAGAAGAAAAGCAAAAATGTAGTTTGGGGTCCATACATATGGAATTTGAATTGGCTCTTCACAAAACACATCTTACAACACATCTCAATGTGCATTGGAAACATCTCTTGTACTTGTCATGAGGAGATGTATTGTTCCCAATGCAATGTTGGGATGTGCTGTAGGGCATCTCTAAAGTGTACTATGTAGGGAGTTAATGTAAATTCTTATGTATGATAGGTATAAAAAGGGATGGGATGAGAAAATTTGAATGATTCATTTATCTATGAACAAAAATTGTTATATGTAAAAATTGATCATAAATAATAAATCAATACCAGTACATACATCAACCGAATAGAAAACCTAGACCTTGGTCTATTAAAATTGTAGATGGAAATAATGAAGCAGACCTATCAAATAAGAAAAAACCAATATCGTTGGCTTGAAATCCTTGGAGAAAAATGTGTTTGGATCTCCTACTCACACCTCACTACAGCGGCACATTGAAAATATCTCATGTATTTACATGTTATCATTCACGGGGAGATGTTCCCAATGTACAACTGTAGTTTTATGTGGATAGGATTCTCATGGATAGGAGATCTGGATTGGAGAAAAATAATTGGGGCTGCAAGTCAGGCCGGGTTAGGTCAGGTTGAGGCCAACCCTAACCCTAACCCAATCCGACCAACCCAACCCTAACCCTAACCCTAATTAAATTCCTTCAACCCTAACCCAACACAACCTAACCCGAAGTCGATTTCGGGTTAGGTTGGACCCAACCCAACCTTCTTCCCATCCCTTAAAACCTCATAGAATTTCTTGATTTTAGACCTTAACTCAACTCTCACTACATATATTAATCCTATGTTTCATTAGTATTTGTTTGTTGACTTTTTCTTTTGTTCTTTTGGTACAAAATTCAGAAAAACAAGTATCAGAAATGACTATAGTTTATTATGAGTTATGACTTACGATAGATCTTTCTTAGGCGACAAACAACATAGAGGAGATGAAGAATAAAATTTTCAAAAAACATAAAATAATGTTATTAAGGTTTAGTTTTTCTTATTAGAATTAAGTGAAGTGATTATCTTAAAAGAAATACATGATACTATATGGTGGGGGGCTATACAAATATCATGCATATAAACAAATCAATGTATGTTATATATTACATATAACATATATTTATATATGACATGTACTATAGAGTCGGGTTCGGGTTGGCTAAGGGGTCAACCCTAACCCAATCCGAAGTAAAATTGGGTTCATGAATTTCAACCCTAACCCTAACCCGAACATCAACCCAACTCAGCCCAATCTAACTTTTTCGGATTGAGTTAGGGTTAGGTTCGGGCCAACCCGGCCCAAGTTGCAGCCTTAAAAATAACTGAAATTGGAAAATTTTACACATTATTTGTGGAAGGAAGAAAATAGCTCCTACAAGGGAGACTATGGTCATGGCACCTTCCTAGCTTGCTTTAAAAGGACAATCTGATCGTGCAAGGAAGCCATAGTGTAGATAAGGTGTTATCTTGACTCGCCTATGGCATGAATAACAATTGGAAATTTAGCAATTGGCAACAAAAGTTGATGAATATGAATAGATTACCCCATTCTTTTTATAGTGTTTGAAATCCAATATGGAGCTCAAATTGTTCTCCCTGTAGGTCAATAGGTTAAATTGTGATTCCATCAACATACTAATAAAAAATGAACCTAGTAACCCATTGAATGTGTTAGATGAATCAACAGGACTGGTTATTGATTAGTCAACGGGTTCTTATAAAATAGCAAGTTAGGTGATAACCCAAACCAGTTCCATGACTAGTAAACTTGTTCATGACTTGAGTAGCCCAACCGGCCGGCTTGCTCTTAATCAGGCTTGGACATGAATTTAGACATGTAGGTTTGAGTTTGGGCCCAAAACACCAGGCCTAATTTTTCTCAGGCCAGATTTTGGCTTTCTCAAAAATAGCTCGCCCTGAGTCTGAGCCTGAACTTGACCTGACAATGTTTTATATAATAAAAATATGTTTTATATAAAAAATATATTTTATAGGATAAAAATATATGCTATATTTTTGTTCATCTTCTTTTTTTTAAGCCATAGTGACATATTCCAATATTTTTAGGTTTTGAGGTCATTAGATATAAATAAATCAATTTTGTTGTTGAGTAATTTTTTTTTTTTTTATATTTTTTGGCTGAATTCAAGCTCAAAATCTAAACTCAATAGTTGGACTGGGCTTGGGCTCAGGCCCGAATATGTTCTATTGATATAAAGACAAAGCCCAATTGAAAACTGATCGGTTTCTTTTAGATTAGTTGAAAATGGAATTGTTTCTTTGGTTTTTAGGTTAATTGAAATTGAATCAATCGGTTCAACTAACCGTTTTTTTCCATTTCATCGGTTGGGTTCAGTTTTTCAATTTTTCATAAATCACTCATGCGGATGAGATCTATCTTCCCAAGAGTTTAAAATGTTTTAAATGATATATCGGTGTATCCATGCGTTTCGGGTCCACCGATACGGATACGTATTAATATTTTAATCCTTGCCGTCACAAGATTTCGGTCTTCACGATTTCAACCACATCATTTCCACCTGCAAGTGTGCATAACTCAGAAGCCAATAGGAGGAAAAGAGTAGGAGAGGGAAGAGGTATAAAACTGGTAACTTAGACACAGAGAAAAGTCAGCATCTTTCCCGTTCAACCGACTGGTGAAAGTCTGAAACTGTAACTTTTCGTTTCTTGAAGGTGAGAACTGTTTGTTTATCTTGTATATTGTGGAGTTCATTTCCCTAATTGTTCTTACGGATTTGTTACTGCTCCCATTACCCTAGTTAGCTAGCCTATGTTCTTCGTTGCCTGGTTTTCCTGATTTGTTATACTCACTATCTTTCGTCTGCACTTCAGAATCATCTATTGGAAAAAGCCCTAACTATTTCATTAATCCCAACATTTTTCTTTGGAAATCTAGGGTTTATTTGGGGATCTCTTCGACGTACATCTGTTTTGTCTAGATCTACGTTCTGGGTAAGCAGAGCTGGTTGGATTGGCTCTTCGATATTAGGGTTTATTCGAGTATTAAGGATTTCTCCTTGCTAGAGATCTGCAACACAAGATTGTCGGACTAAGAGCAGGTACGACTTCTTCGATTCGTTGTCTACGATATTACAACCCTAATTTAGATATAAATTTTTATCACCCTTATCAGTATCAATATTTAATTGGTAAAATCTATGATGCAGGAAAGACATGATACCGGAAAGGCTAACTTTCTTATATGTATTGCTCCTTATCTATTTCTGCTTGAATTTATTAGAGTTTCATTTTGTTAGGCACGCGGGACGTATACAACTTGAATTTCATGGAGGGACCTGGAGGCGATGCCGCCTCTGCCGTGGCGCCTATCGCCAAATGGAGAAATGATTTCTCCAGGGCGTTTCAGTACTATCTGGATAGATCTACTCCTCATCCAGTCCAGAGGTGGCTGGGAACTCTTGCTGTTGCAGCCGTTTATGTTTTGCGTGTTTATTATGTCCAAGGTTTTTACATAGTGTCCTACGGTTTGGGGATCTATGTCTTGAATTTATTAATCGGGTTTTTGTCGCCAAAAGTTGATCCAGAGCTAGAAGGTTTAGATGGGGCTTCGCTGCCGACAAAGGGCTCCGATGAATTCAAGCCTTTCATTCGCCGCCTCCCTGAATTCAAGTTCTGGTAATTAAATCTTTAACATAGTTTTTCTTCCATGTTGTTCCATCCCATTATGGCTTTAAGCAAGGTTTGTCTGGTTTCTGTAATTACAATGGAAAATAATTTTCTCATTCGAGCATCTTTTGATTGTTTTGCAAATAGTAATTCTTTGTTGTTTCCTTTCTATGGAGTTGTGGCTTGAGGTTTTGAACATTGCTGTTCCAGTCATCCTTATATTGAAGTACACTTTCTTTGTTAGTGAATGCTGCTTGATATTTCTTTATTTTTTGGGATTGGTAACATCCAACTTTATTGAATTTGACTAAAAGAATAATATGTTACAAGAAGGTTGTGCTGAGCACCCCAAATGATTCAAAGCTACCTACCCATATATACATGTTTCATGTGCATATTTCCATTATATCTCCTGTATTTTGATTCCCAGTACAATTGACTACGATTTGCATCCTGCCTAGCTAAAGAATTAGATAGACTATTGGCTGATAATTGAATTGGTAACATCCAACTTTCATTTACTTTCTATGCTGCTAAGTTCCAAGTGCATTATGTTGGAGCCAGCCTATGATCACCTTTGAATCTCCTTATATCACAATGTTCCTGTACTGTAATTAACTTAGTCTGTGTAAAACAGCTAATCATTCTGCCCTGGTTCAACTTGTGCATGTCTAGAACTCCTTAGGCCGCGTTTGGAAATGATACAGTGTACAATGCAAAAGTGATGTACACTGGTTTGTGAGAATGCAAAATCGATTTATGTTTGCACATATGATTGTGCCTACTTTATTTTTTTTTCCTAATGGTGCAACCACACAAAGAGGAGACAGAACCAGCCAACTGCCGATTCTCTCCCCTCTCTCATCCTCCTCCTCTTCTCTCTTTCTGCACCTATCCCTCCTTGTATAGTGCCACAGAACAGGGAAGATTTCAGACTTAACACGGTAGAGAATGAGCTCTGCTTGATTGGCCGCCTCTCCCCTTCCCTTTATTGTTTCTTTGTTGCTCCTCCCCATCTGCGAACCTCTGTATTGGGAGCCATTACTCATGTCACTGAACCTTGTCTTCCTCCCACCAGTAAGCATCTACATACTCATGGAACCCAGCTTACCCGTACCTTTTGTATTGAGGAATCACAAAACACTCAAAAGTCAAAACGTGTGTAGGAGATTTATACTGGTTGGATCCATGGAAACCTGATATTGCTGTGTTCCAATGTGGAAGATGTAAACTTACTGTTTTGATGGTTTACCAATGGCATCTAAGACTCCTCTCCTCTGGCTTGATGAGTAAAAAGCACTCATTTACAATGTAAAGTTGTAAAAAATTGTAAATTCCTGCTGGCCAACGTTATAGATATTCCCTGTAACCAAATGCTTGCAAAACCGAACCGGGTTGCATAAATGCACTGGTTCTGTGCTTGAATCGCAAACAAATGCAGCCTTAGCATTTCTCCAATGACAAAAGCATGGTCAAGTAAATGTGATATGGCAGAAGATTGGTTAAAGATATTCTAAAAATTTATGATATGCACTTTGACATATTTTTTTTGTTAATTTATGTACAATATATTAAATGCTAGAAATATGTGTAAGGTGTATATACACATTCCCAACATCTATTGTAACTTGTATATGTAATTATGTATTAGCTAAAATATGTGAATTTAAGAAGGTTGCTGATTTTAACATGTCCCATTTTTGAAATGGGTCCATTACAAGATTGTCCAATGTGGCTGCTCTCAAACTTGAATACCCATCTCTAGCTGACGAGTGTGAGGATGGGGTTCAAAGAGCAGCCACTTTGTGCAAAGGATACTAAAGGTTAGGTCTGTGTCTAGTCCACCCCTCTCAAGACCCTGGATAACTGGGACCTTCATTTGTTAGTGGCCCTTTCTTAATTTGAAAAGGGAGGAGTATTAATCCCCATCTATAGCTGATAAGCGTGAGAATGGGGTTCAGGTCTGAGAGCAGACACTTTGTGCAAAACATACTGAAGGCTAGGTCTGTGTCCAGTCCACTCCTATCAAGACCCTGGATAACTGGACCTTCATTTGATAATGGCCCTTTGTTAATTTGGAAAGGGAGGAGTATTGTGGGATCCATTCTCTTTCATTTGAACTAAAAACATTTTTTACTCAAAATTTGTTCTGAACATGAGTCTAGCCAAGTCACTAAGAGTAAAAACTCTGTGCAGGAGAACAACAATCACCTGTTTGGATTTTTCTTATTCATGCAATTTTGTCTCTTGTCTGTTCAACCTTTTTGACCCTTTTCTTTTTTGGCACAAAGTGGTTGCTATCAGATTGAAACCTGCACAAAGCGGTTGCACCAAGCAATAATCCTTATGTATACATGTATACAAACATATGTATATATGTATGTGCATAAAAATGCTTAAAAATTTATTTGGAATATCATATATTCATATCCTTTAATTTTTGGTAGCTATATGCTGAGTTTTTGGCTTTTTTTTTTACTTTTATTTTTTTGGACTTTGAAACCCTTAATATTGTTGGAGTGAAGCACACTCCCCTATCCAAAAAAGTGTTTTGCATTCATGTAGTCATGTAATTTTATGTATGTTCCTAATGATTCTACTTATTTCAATTTATATTACCCTTTTCCTACAATGTGCAATCTTATACCTTGCTTGGTGAATTGTGTTTGCTGAATGAATTTTGCTTAATTCCGCAGGCTTGCATCCATTATGTTGTTTGCTTTGTGATCAATTTAAATAACCTATGATGGGAACTCTGCTGAAATTTGGATTGATGGGAAAATTACATGTTCTGCTGTTTGTTTTATTTTATTTTTTTTGGGTGCTCTTGATGTCTATATATGGTCTTTCATGTATTTTAGAAATTGAGGTCCTTGAAATGTTCTCCCAATTGATTGAAAGAAATCTATGCAATCACCATCTGGAAGAAAATGCATATGATGCACAAGGGCTGCTGGGGGGGGGTGGGTTGAAGTGGAAACAAAATTAGGGCCTGTTTGGAAGGGCTGAGCTGAAGATTCAGCTAAGCTGGTTCAGCTGCTTTGAAGCGCTCCATATAAGCTATTCAAAGAGACTGAAGCCGTGAAGCAAACAGCCCTTCAAATGACTAACTGACAACCGATTTGGGCTCTCTGGATCATGGTTCAAACTTCATAGTATTGATACACCTGTGTATCAACAGAGACATATCGGTACTTTAACAGATGTGCCTTTTATTTTTTTAGTTTTTTTGTTCAAATTTCAGTTTTAATTATAATTATATATATTTCTTAATAAAAAAGAGTTCCTGAAAACACCTGTAAACAGGTGTATTGGCACTCAAAGATATGATACAGTGCGTCCCGTATCGTGTGCATTGTGTTGATGCATTGAACATTGGTTTGGATTTTTCACCAAACATAGCTTGAAGGCTGTTTGTGGGGCCTACCTTGGAAAGGCAGAAGCTGCTGTGCTACAGACCTCTCTAATTGGTACTTAACTTTCACAATGATCTCCTTAGTGTGAAAGAGATCTATAGAGTTTTTTGTCCACCTATCAAGAATTGGAGACTTAATTTCTTTGTGCAATTGACTGATAATGGAACTAATCTAAGGCCTTGTTTGATAATTAAGTACTTGTTTCACAAGTACTTCTTAGAAGTACTTATTTTAGCAACCACTTAAGGTTGTTTCTTGTTTGGTAATCCACTTTTCAAATCACTTATTATGTTTTTAAGCACTTATTGGGGTGGGAATGTTTGGTAAGCTACCTTCCCCATAAGTGCTTATATTGACACAAATGACAATTTTAGCCCTCACTTCTTTGAGTCTTGTCTATTCTTTAACCTCTCAGATCTCCACCTCTCCACTTTCCTTTACTTCTTTTATTGCTTTACTTTGCCTTCATCTGCTCGATTACTGTTTTCTGGCCTCCACTGCAATGACGGTGAAGCTTTATTGCAACCAGAATCAGTTCACCGGCGTAGACATTCATATCCAAAATGAAGAGCAGAGAGAGAGACCAGGGAGAACAGGCTGAAGATTAACCATAGCGATCACCCGCTGGAGAATGGACACCGGAGAGAGAGAGAATTTCCAAACCAACTAACCCACGAGAGAACAACAAGCAAGCAACCGAAATCAATAAAAAACCATCTCAGATTTCCTCCTCCTTTCTACTGTAGATCCCAATTTTTCTAGGGTTTCATTCTTCTTTCTCTACTTTTCTCAGAAGAACAGAGGAAGAAAACAGATATGGTGGAGAGGCAATCCTTCTTCAGTCGGTTGCTGGAGGAACTAACGGAGAGGATCCTGGCCCACCTCCCCATCTCTGTCGTGTTCCGCTGCTGCTGCGTATGCAAGCAATGGAACTCCTTGCTAACATCCAATTCCTTCCTGGACCTCTGGGGTCAGTTCTCCCCTAGAGACAGCCCTTGTTCCGGTCTACCACATGCGCCACATTGTCACTGCTTACAACCCTTGTTCCGGTCTCTGGAACAATCTCCCTCCGTACGATCGGTGTTCTCTCGACTCCTCTCAGGTCCTCCTCTTAGCGTCCTCCGGTAGTCTCCTCTGCTTCCGTAATCGCAATTCCGATTACCCTACCTTGATCGTCTGCAATCCTGTCACTAGCACCCATAGGGTCTTGCCCGATATGCTTCAAATTCAATACATCGATATCGTCGGCATGGTCGCCGATGGGATCACCAATTCGTACAAGATTTTGGTCATTGGAACCCCTGAACCTGATTCAAACGAGAGCATTGCCGAAGTCTACGATTCTAGAACACAGCGGTGGGAACATCATTGTTGGTTTCAGCTGGAATTCTTGTAGTTTTGGTATGAAGTTCATGCGATTTGGCATGACGGACAAAGCGATTAGCACCGTCAGTCTCGTCATTGCCACCGGGTTTTTCTCTGTAACAGAGATGGAACAAATATCAGGATTGATGCTTAATGTAAGAAGGGTTGCTTGGGTGATGGTTTAAGGCTTCTCGAAGAGATGGAACAATTATCAGGGACTGGTTCGAACGAATGGAGGAGGAGGTATAACACTTGTGGGGGTATTTTAGCCATTATAAAAAATGATCAGGGACTGGTTCGTCCTATTTTTTGGAGAAGTACTTCTTGAAGTACTTAAAAAAAAGCCAACTTGAAGTCACTTTTTAGAAGTACTTTAAAAAAAGTACTTCCCCACTTTTTTACCCAACACCCATAAATACTTAAAAACCACTTAATGTGTGGTCCCATGTCTTAAAAGAAGTACTTGTTAAAAGAAGTACTTTGAAGTGTGTTCTCAAACAGGGCCTAAGTCAGAGGTCATACAAGTGCTACCATATCATTGTGTGAAGTTTGCCAACACTTCGGCTTGTATTATCTTCATCAAGTAGAGTTCATATATTTTTGTATCAAATTAGGTGTGATGAACTGGCAATTTGGTTGCTATGAGTTGACCTCTCATATGGGGGGTGGGGGGTTACATGGGATTGGGTCAGAAATTGCCACCCCCAGGTAGCTTGATTTTGTTGTATTATACTTGCCAGAGGTCAAATGAGACAATTTTAATTGCTGAAAGTTGAAATGTGATGCAGTGTTTTCAACTGGTTGTTGACCTGAATGGTTTAGCCCTTTGAACTGTGACCCGGTTGCAATTCTGTTTTGGGTTAACCCCAAACCCAATAGTTGGCCAAAAATTGTTGACTTGGTCAGAGACCTATTGACCTGGATGGCTGAAGAGACAGGATCTAGTCCCACTAAGGGTCCCAACAGCCATTGCAGCTGTACATGGGAACATCTTGCCATGAGGACAAGGAAGATGTTCCCAATGCACGGCTGCAAAGGATGTTATGACTGGTTGTTGGGACCTGGTCCAAACTCATGGTTGAACTGTCAAGCTGCTTGTCTGGGACAACAGGTCACAGGTTATAAATTACATATACTTCAGTTTTATTCTTTTTAGTATACCTATATATATATACGCACATTTATCTATGTAGGGTATAAGAGGGTTGCTTCCACAGAGTTGGTGGTGGTCAAACCTCTGAAGATTTGAAGGAGCGAGAATGGTCTGATAGAGAGAGAGAGAGAGAGATTTATTAAATGAAATAATTTCTAGAATCTTCTTGCCATGAAATTAGGTGGCCGACCGGTTACTTGCCAGCTGGTAACATCGATCTATGCTCACTTTGCCCTGAATTGCCCTTATAAACTGAAAACTGGGTTAGCCATTGGGGAAGATGTGTGAAAACTTCTGGAGGCTATAACTTTGTGCTCAGTGGTTGGATTGCTTTTTCTCCCTTAAATTTGGGTAACTTTTTGCAATATATGTGATGGATGTAAGACACTGAAGGCGCCTTGGCCCACTGATTTTGCGAAAAAAGAGCCGTTTTGGCCTCAAATCTCAATTTTTAGCTTTCTTATAATTTATAAAAAGATTTGAACTCAAACTATATATACATATATATATAATGCAGAATATAATAATGTATTCTGAATATATATGTATATAATTATACAATTATATATGCAGAATATATAATGATATCATAGGTTGACCTGTTCAAGTGGATGGTTGAAATGCTTACCCATGACCTGGAGAGAAATGGGTCAGCTCTGGTTTAGATTTAAAACACTAATGCGATGCTTGAAGTGGTCTGGTACTTTTGTAGCAACCTTCTTAAAGCTCGTCTCTTATTTCTTTTTGATGAGCTGGTTGTCTCCTATTTCTATTAATTTAATTTTAGACTTACGGTTGACATGATGCCAAGCATGTTTTGAAATGCTTTGGTCTACAATCCAATGATGAAAATATATGTTATTTGGTTTATTGGTGATTAATACTTGTCAATATTGTGACTTCACTACTCCCAGCGTGCACAAATGATTTGTTTTTAGAAAGTTGGTTTTCTCTGTGTTGATCTTCATTTCATTGACAACTTAATGTTTGTTTGTTTTTAGGTTGCTTGTTTTATACTTTAGTTCATGTCATTGGAAGAGATTCTGCTCTTGCATGTTTCTTTTTTCACCTGAACCAGTGAAATCAAGAGTATATTTTTTAATGCATGCAGTAAAATCTTGACACTGAGCAACATTTCTTGTGTTATTATTTCAGGTATTCAATTACAAAGGCTTTCTGCATAGCCTTTGCTATGACTTTTTTCTCCATGTTTGATGTGCCTGTATTCTGGCCCATATTGCTATGCTATTGGATTGTTCTTTTTGTGCTTACGATGAAGCGTCAAATCCTACACATGATCAAATACAAGTATGTACCGATTAGCATTGGAAAACAGGTGAGCTTGAAACTTAATTTATTTATTTATTTCATTTTATTATTATCATTATTTTTTTTATTAAAAGCAACTTCATTCATTAAGAAGGTTCAAACCAAGAAGTGAGCATAAGAATTTCTAGCACATGGTATGTAACTCCACCTTACTTTCTCATATCATCCACCCTCCTTCCAAATGGCTTCCACTATAGCCTATACTAGAGCCAAAAGGACAGATTTCCTAAAATGTTCACCAGCAACGGCATAATCAGACTCCAAGATCACCTTTCTGAACAATTACTTAGCCATTAACTTCAAACCCAAAAAGACAGCAAAAGATTCTGAGAAAAGAGAAGGCCTCCTCGGGAAATCAGAAATATACAACCTGAAAAGGATCCAGATTCATTGTAAACAACGCATACATGACCTTCAACTAGTTATTACTTGGTAATCACCACAGTAGGTGGCATCGTCATGATATCATCGTTGTACTGTATTTCTCAACTTATTATTTTGTTTCATATTCTTACAACTTTACTGACAGAGGTACACCGGGAAGAAGTCTTCTCCAAGTGGCAGTGCCATGTCTAGGGATTAGTATTTTGGATTCATACTGGGGAGCGTACAACAGAAGAATGGAGAAGTAATACAAAATCCCCGTGAAGTTTCATGTTTTAAGATGTTTCCTGATGGAACGAACATATGTTTTATCTCGTTAATCGTTATGCATGCGTACGGACTCAAATTCACTTGGGCTTTCTTTTAAGCCCGCAGACAGTGGAAATGAAACTTGTGCATACATATATGATGATAAGGATTCTTTTATGTTCCTTTAAATTGCAGATGATGTAATACGCATGATTAAGTTCATACATTTTCTCATTTAATGTAGTTTAATTCTTCCATTGTAACTTCCAGCTCTTAGTGGATTAATATTTCCAACATTCTTATGCACTATGCTGCTATTCTTTTGGTGCCAGTGAAAGGAGTATCTGTAGATTTTCTTTCAAAAGGCTGTGTTTGGAAACAACACAAATGCAAATTTGTAGGAATTGACATTCTACCGGTTTCAAAAAATACAATCCGGTTCGCTTGTGTATGTTTGATTTCCTCTCGTCTCATTTGGCAGTAACGATGTAAAACACCAGTGCACTTTTGTTGGTATTTGGAAACTTAAACAATATAGCTGTAAAAACGCCTTCCCGTCTTTGTAGTTTATATCAAAGGCCATTTGGGTGAAGACGTCTTCGGTCAAGGTGTGGAACCAATCAGAAACTTCAATCTCCGCTTTGTTGGAATTAGACATTTCTGACCACTTCTCTTGCATCTCCACCACTCTTTCCCATCACTGGTATCAAGAGCTTATTAGAAGAAGACAAACAAAGATTAATGGCAGTAATGGAAAAAATAAAGCGCTCTGAGAAAATGGGTGTTGATGGAAAATGGGTTAAATCATTTCTTTTGTTGTTTCTGAATTCCTTCTGGACTTACTTTCAGGTTCTCTATGTGGAAGCTTGGTGAGAAGATCCTTCTGTGGTGAGCCCATTTTTGGCCTTTCAGAGTTAATAATCCTTCGCCTTCAAGCTGTTTGACGAGTTGGTGGGAATCGTTCTTCTCGTAGAATTCTGATCTCAGGGTGATGGTTTCTCAAATAAGGTCAAGATTAGTTACTGAGGCAAGGTGTAGTGCTAGGACCGAACCATACATGGAAGGTTGCAGCTGCAACGAGCCAGAGTTCCCATGTTAGATAAAATGGAAAAGATTACAGAGAAGAAAAGAACTGCAATGCACTAAAAGCATTATACTTTGCAGCAGAACTAAAGAAAAAAGAAGCTCTGCAAACAAAGTAGGGAACCTCAACGGCACTGGTGGTCCGTCGTTGTTCTCTCAAATCTCAATCACCTAGATCTTAGATGCTCAAATCGGTTGATGAAATATTACTTATCAGATCTCAAATCGGTGGAAAGGGCATGAATATTTACTTCGTTAAAACCGAAGAGTTTTTCGCCTCAAGATTGAAGTAAACTCTGACAAGGTTGCAAATTTACTTCGATCTTGAGGGTATTTTCACATTGTTCCCAAATACATGTAAATCAGGACTGAGGTACAATAATGCACCTAACTGGTATTTACACCGTCTCCAAACGCAGCAAAAGGGGCTCAAATTGCATCCCAAACTATTTTATTTTGGCAACTTGAAAGATCGAAAGGTGCATTGTTTGCATTTTCTTGGTCTATTTTAGCACTCTGTGAAAGCAGAAACAAAGCAAATCAAGACTTTTTCGAGTCTTAGTCCCAAGTACCATATATCAAATATGTTAATACTTATACAAAGCAAAGAGGATACTTGCCTTGGTTGGTTTGGGTGCAGGATATAAAGGTTAAAATCGCTCCAGTCGCCGGTATTGACAACAATATTTGGTCAGCATGGTAAGTGCAATAGTGGCAAGAAAAATTGTACGTTCCTTTTTTTTTCATAAAATAATTTAAAGATGACGACTCCACTGGGGATCGAACCCAGAATCTCTGGTTCCGTAGACCAGCGCCTTATCCATTGGGCCATGGAGTCAGTCTTACTCTCAAACGTAGTATATTCTTTTGATCAAGGTGGAGGTTCCATCATGCATTAAAAGTAGCTGCAGCAATTTTATCACTAAATCAGGTTTGGTTCATTGTGTTGGTTAAGGTTAGGAGTGAAGGCAAATTAAAGGTTTAGGTGCTTTAAATTAAACCATGTTTAATCGGGGAACGTTCCTACCTCTACCACTATATTTATGAGACCGGATCTTCTGTTCATACAAGGCGCCTCACCGATCTTAGAGGCACATACCACCATGCATTGGGAATATCTTTCGTATTTATATGTTAATATTCTCGGGAGATATTTCCAATGCATGGTGAAACGTGCATGTGAGGTGCCCTATGTGAAGAGCAGATCCCAATTCTACATTTACTCCAGGTGCCAAGTTCCAACCCATTGTCGTTGGATTATGGGTTGGCTGGGAGCCTGGGACGTGTACAGTAAGTTCTACCCGGACCTTTTTCCCAGCCTAGTGGATTTTGTCGTTTATAAAATCATCAAACGTAGCTGCATAGGTTTATTCTCATTGAGTACACATACAATATCATCAGTCATGACAGAGCAACCTTAAATAAGTAGAGGCATTGGGTTTCTTTCACAGTTGAGAATGTTGCTGCATGTGTTTAGAACTGTGGACGTTTCACGTTTATTGATTAAATATTTTATACTTGATTTATTTGGAAAGCTGAGAAAAGCATTGGTAAACCTGTTTATTGACACTTAGGTGCTGTGCCATTAGATGCCACTTTAGCAAAATAGTGAATAAATGCTTATTTGTTGGGAGAAATACTAAAATTAAGTTTCTCCATTTTTGCAAGTTCCTAGGTATATAGATTCACATAATGAAGGAAATGCTGAAATAGTGCCTATATGACAACGTTTATTCAATAAACGCCCAGGATTCCAAATACACACTACATCTAACATCTCAAATCTCCTTTTTGGCAATTAGTAAAAGAATTTTATCAGGTTAGTTCAGTGTTCGAATTCCACAATAATGGATATCATTTCTTTAGCTGTACCTGAGGGCAAGCAAAAACGTATTAGGCTGTTGGCCCCCAACAGCCAAAGTTTTTCCGGCTCGGGCTACCCTGTCCTTCGGCTTCTGTATCGGAAGGATCGTACCCACTTAGCCTCTGTTTGGGGCAGGAAGAGTGAGACTGAGAGGCTTTGCTGTTCCTGGATGATTTCACCATCGCAAGCATCATTTGAAAAAAATGGGGAAGTGAAGTCTCAGCAGTTCAGCCTAGGATTCAGCAGGGATGATGGGAGGAGAAGTGACAGATTTCATGCACCAAGAGAGAGAGAAGAAGCTCGGATATAGAGTCGATATAAAGCTAGGGGTTTCCGTAATAATGTAGTTGGATGTCGATAGACGATATACCTTAAAAAGGTCAAGGACAAGGATTCCGTCATCTGTAACCAACTCAAAGAATGGAATTCGCTCCATGTAAGTCTGTAACCTCTAGGCGTGATGCCAATAATCCAGTTTCTCTTCTCTGAAAAGTAAAGCAGCACTATTAGGCTCAGGCTTGGGCAGGAGCAAACGAGTGAGGGAGGGAATAGAGGAAGAGAGTAGGGTTAAATACTAAACCTACCCTTGTGGTTTAGTAAATGGACACAAACCTACTCTATTATACATTTTTTGCCAGTGGACAAAATCCTCCCCTACCATTAATTATGTCGTAACAATCCGTTCGCATGTAATATGTGATAAATATATTTCCTCTTAATTTTAAAACTACTCTTTTGCAATCAATTTTACCTTTTTTTTGTTCTTTAAATTTTCATCTACCCAAAAATCAAATTGATCTGAAGTATTAACCGAGGCGCATCAATTGCTGGTTGAAAACTATTTCCAAACCCCCCTTCGGCCTGGGTTTGGCCTTGGCCGTTGAGAATGTCTGGAAGGGCTCCCTTTCTGGGTAAAGCCCTAAAAAAAAGTGCCATGACTTTCTCAAAGCTCTATGGGACAAGGTAGAGGAGCCGAGATGAATCCTGATCCATGGGATTCTACAATGTGTAGTGGTGTTTCATCACCTCTTCAACCAGAATCATATTATAGGGGCGATGATGGAACTAGGAGAGGGTTTGTGTAAGCTTCGGAAGATGAACTTTACAAGTGGGCCTTTTTAATCAGTTCGAGATTTCTGCAGTTCTGGATTTTATATACCAGACTCGGTTAGAATTAGCAGCCTGTGCTGATAATTTTTGCATCACACAATGCATGGCTCAAAGCAGTCATATCAACTTCTTGGTAGCTTTGCTGCTGGGCAGTGCCTATATCATTTAAGGAGTGATAATAATGTTGCTGGTATAGTTTTCTACCCCAAGGAATCTTACCACATCAGGAACCTCGTGAGGGTCAAGGTTCCCACTATTCATGCAACACAAGAACGTCTAATGGCCTGTTACTTCTGTTGACTATCAGAAAAAAATATAGGCTGTGTTTACCTACTATACCTGCAAAAGGTATCATTGTTTACCCAACCATATATTTCCGTTAGGCTGTGTTTGGAAATGATGCAAATAGAGTGTAAATCCCGGTTTAGGGTAAATTTGCATTCTAGTTTACTTTTGTTTGTATTTGGCAACATTACATCTATGCATTGACAAATAACAGATCAATGCATATTTACATTGATAATAAGATGTAAAAGTACATTATTAAAAAAGAAGTAAATTTGCATTCAAGTGGACTTTTGATAAAAAAAACATATGTTTTATTGGAATTCGTGTTTGCATCCATTACATCTAAAAGTCTGTTTTGTAAGAAGGTAAATTTATCAATGCAAAACTAACCCAACTTTATAATTTATATAGACCGTTCTACACTACATATTTGCATTCACACTTATTTTCATCGTTTCCACACACAGTCTTAAACTTTTCCACGCTTGTCATTTCTCTTTCATACTCTTACTAAATTTTACTTTCCCTGTTACAGCCTCAAAGATCCATCTTTCTAATCTCACCCCTTTTCGTATCTGTCTTTTTTATTTTTCCCTCTGGTTACTGATTTACGTGTGGAACAACTTAGCAGAGAATGATAGCAGCGAATGAGGTGATCTATGAGCATCCTCAAAGGGTCTAAGATAATAGAAGGTTGTGCAGGATAGTCTCCAATCACTTCCCTCATATCTGCCAAAGAAAAATAAAATTGAGGGGTTGTAGTGCTTCCTTGCGAGCGACCCCATTAAACATGGACACGCCAGGGTTGCAGCACTCTCATGCGAGTTTCGACCACCCGATTCCAATTAAACTGTCACATGCCCATTAGTGGGTTTATATTATTTGGGGTGATGTTAGCTGGATTGTTAATTTGGGATTGCAACAAATTTGATACATGCCTTAGGAGAATTCCCCCTTAAACGTTAGCACTTAGAGGGAAGGAACCCAAACACATATGTACCACACAACAGTATTCCATACTACCGATGTGAGATATCTCATATTAATATTCCATACTATCAATGTGGGACAAAGGGATCGTAACATAAGCATGGACATTGTAGCCCTTTTTTGAAGTTCAAAACAGCCCTTCGTTTCATTTGTGGTGCGAGAATCTCTATCAAATTCTCAAACTCTCTCTCACACACAGCTATTTCCCACCACTTACAGCGACATTCTAGCTAATATTTGCTACTTTTTCCTTTGCTCAAGTGGGCAACTTCTTCTAAAAATATTCCATCACTAAGAAGGAAATGACATTCATCCACCATTTTATTATTGTTGTCATCATAAATGATTGGCTTGCAAATAACTTTGTACAAAAAATAAAATTAACAAAAAGCTTGAGAAGACCTAATCTTCAAGTTTGAAAGAATGAAAATTGTAAGTTGGGCTACCAAACCCATTTTTACATGCTTTGATGCAGACCAGACCAAACCAGACCAGAGTCGTTCACAACATGCACCACCCTACTTAGACATGGAAATGGAACTCTTGTATTCATGTTGGTGTTGGCTATGGGTGCATCCCCATAGGACCCAGACCCAAGCCATTGACAGCCCTAGACCACTGGCCATGAGCATATGCTGGTTAATGGTTGAGAAGATTTGAAGTCTATCATGACAAGACAAGCACAATTAGATGGTTGGCACATGGAACTGAACCGGTGAACCCTTTAATTCACAATTAGATGGTTGGCACATGATACCGAACATCACCCATAGATCATCTCCTTCTTAGACCAAGTTGAATTGGGCCTGGTTGAATCCTTGGCACTGTAGGAAGTTAAGTTAATACTTGGAAGATAAAACCAGATAGAGCTGATGAGTGACTCTGGTTTAATTGGATATCATAGTTTGAGCCAGGCGGTTTAGCTCTAAAGAAATAAGTTCATATTTTGGATAATTTTTAATGAGCCACATGATTGACATGGCTTTGGTTTTGTCAGTAACGATGATTAAAGTATTCATAATTTGATAGGTCGAGATGTGAGGATTGGGGAGTTGCTATCAATATAAAATTTATGGACTATAGAAAAGGATACAGAATGTGAATTTCACATTCACGATACAACCCTCCAACTACTTGGTATCAAACCTAATGCTTATCGTAATAAATCTGACTTTGTTCAATAAAAAATTATATTAAAAAGCAGAGTGGTTTAATTGCTCAATGAAAAAATTATATTAAGAGCCAGAGTTGTTTAACTTTTAAATCATTGTTGTCCACTAATGGCCAGTTCATCCACTAAGAGTCGTCCTCTCCTCTTTCTCCACTATCATAATTCATAAGCAAACCTTGAGCCAGCTTTTCATCTGTTGCATGGTTCTGTCGTCGGAAATGAACGGGAGAGTCTTCGTTCTGATATTTTTCTTCTGGGCAGTTTTCACCATAGTTACCCCAACTCTTATTATCTTGTCTGCATCTGCAAAATCCAATTCGGACTCCAATGGTGAGTAAGATAGCCAGCCAGAGATTCTTCTTCTTCTTCTTGTTCTTCATTTGAGTACTCTTTTTTCTTACACTATGTAGATCATCCAGTAGCAGAGGGTTCTGTTTGATAACCTGAAACTAATAATTCTATGGTATATATGGCAGGCGAAGAAAGCGATGAAATGAGCTTGAGAAGAATGATGGGCTTTTTAGAGGGAGAAGATATGGTAAGAGTATTGTCAGCTCCAGCACCGGCGCCCACACCAGCCCCGGAAACCGCTTTAGGACATGGAGTAGTTATTTTGACAAAGTTTCGGCATCAAAAAACGATGTGAAGGAGTATAGGCAATGCAGTCAATGAAGGGCTGTGTGTGTAAGTGTATGTGTTCTCTTGTATATAAATGAAATTTGAAAAATCTGTTCAAAACTTGCAATCTTTGATGGGAATTGGATTAGTGAGATCTGTTTATGACTCTTTCATGAGCATCAACATCAAGCTTGCCATAAACTGAAAGTGATGAGTTGATCAGTCGTCAGGGCCTGGTTCCCATAAATTAAAGATGTTGTGCAACGGAGCCCGACGTCTTGCTTTTCTGCGTCCTCATCAGAGGATCTCATTCATGTAATGGTTTCCATGTGGCAGTTTGGATTCATGCATCTGTCTCAAGCCCCAAGCCCCAAGCCCCAAGCCCCAAGCCCCAAGCCCGAATAATGGAAGAGGGTTGCGTCGGGTTGGGATGCATATGACATTAAAATTTTTGTGTCATGGCATTCATGAACAGAATGAAATGGTAGAACTGCAGGATTCATGTGGCGGACCCCAACAAGCTAGGTTTAGGTTTCGATGATAATAATGATGTAACGAACAATTAGGATGCAAGTCAAAAGATGGGTCCATGTGTTTCACAATGTACAGTGCAGCTGCATGCAGTGCAGTGTGCCCTAGCCTCTTCACAGCTCAGCTCAATGGCCCTTTGCCACATGGCTAAATATTAGTTTTCTATGTACATCCCTCCCATATCCCTGCTTATTGCGTTAAGGTCGGTTAGGTGAAGCAAGACCATGAAGAGTTGGGGTAGTCTGGTCTGGTTACAATCATTAATTTCTAGTTCCATATATTTCTTTCTTGCGCTATTCCATTTACATGGCCGGGTCAGTTTAAATCAAGATCAACATTAATGAAGTCGATTTCTTTCTTTTTAAAAGGCAAAAAAGCCAAAATCCATTTTTCATCGATCAATAGTCTCAAGGGCATGACAACCTGGAGGATTTCTACACCAAATGAGAGGGGTTGTTGGCTTATCAAGATCAAGAGAGTGACGTGCTCTAGAATATGAGAGACTTTATTAATTAGCATTCCGGCCGTCTCACATGAACTACGTACCGAGGCGACATCAAACAGGTTGAATTAACTCCTGCACAAGGCCACCACTGAGTGGATGCGTCAATAATAGCTTTGAGCATGAAATTTCGCACACATAAGGAGTGGGTAAGCTTCACAACTTCCAGGTCATGCAATAATAGCTTCTGCTTCTTCTTCAGAGGTGCAAACCGAAATGGGCTTTCTCGGGTAATATACGTGATGGCCACCATTGTCACGGTCTATACAGGCTTAGCTTTGTTTATGATTGGCGGACTTACGTTAAGGGACATCATCGTCATTTTCACCTGTAAGATTTTTGAGAGAATTGATGTCATTTTTAGGCAAACCTCTAAAAGCTTAACGCACTCTTTGAGGAGGGGTGGTCGACCTCCTTGGGTGCCTAACCTTGGCATTCCTAGACCAACATCCCTTGCGGGGCGGCCCTGGTTAATGGCTAGCATGGCTATCAGGGTTCCTCATGGGTGCACAATGCTCATGGGGACAGTGCATGGACTGGTACTACGCCTCCGCTCATTGAAGGGAAGCTTGCATGCAAGTTTGGCTTAAGCATGTCCCTACACCTTGCTAGACCCTTGCCTTAAAGTAATGAAATCAGGCCAAAGTCTCCCCCAGTCAGACATGTGGCCCACTTACATTCAGACATCTGTATTTTCAAAGATTTAAACAAAATGGACACATGTCAAAATCTGAATAGTGGTAGTTTAAGAATAGAGCCCACTAGAAATGTGTCAAAATCTGAGTAGTGGTAGTTCAAGAAAACAACCCACTAACATGCAGAGTGGAGCCCACCACCATGCATAGTTGTGAGAAGTGGGAAGCTCCCACTGTCAATCATTTCCTAAAGAAAAGGAAGTTGTGCTATTAATTACCGTTAACTACTAAACTAATTAATTAATTCCAACTACTAATTACTGTTAACTACTTTTAATGAATTAATTACTAGTTAATTACTGTCAACTACTTTTAATTAATTAATTCCAGCTATTAATTACTAATAATAATTAATTACTGAAAAAAATTTCTTATAATAATTACTGCTATTACTTAATTGTTGATAATAATTAATTAGTGATAATATTGCTCATTATTAATTCGGAAAAATAATTTCTTATAATAATTACTGTTAGTACTTAATTGATAATTTATTAATGACAATATTGCTTGATGAGGGCAGATTTGGCCCTCCAGTGAAATTGCAACACGTGGCACCTCGTGACAACTAGGCAAGCACCCAGGCAACATCTTACCAAGTTGGTCTCCCCCCCGGGCATCGGTCTGGCTAGCCTGGCGCGACCTGCACGCGGCCTGCGCGCGGCCTGTGCGCGACCTGCATGCGACCTGGCCGGATCAGCCTGCCACAGGCGCCGACCTGGCAAACTGGCCCGGACACAGGCACTGACCTGGCAATCTGGCCCGGACACATGCGCCGACCTGACAACTTGATCCGGACACAGGCGCCGACCTGACAACCTGACCCGGACACAGGCGCCGGCCTGGCAACCTGGCCCGGACACCGACCCGCTGACTGACACAGGCGCCGACTTGGCAACCTGGCCCGGACACCGACCCGTCGACAAACACAGGCGCCGGTCTGGCAACCTGGCCCGGACACGACCTGCCGACCTAACAACCTGGACCAGGCGCCGACCTGGCCGCCTGGCACAAGCGCCAGCCTGACAACCTCGAGGAGTTCATCACCGTACCCCAGTTCTGACGGGATATGACGTCTTACCATTTGAAGGCTTTTCACCCACCTAACCCGCGAGGGCA